AAAGGACTGTAGTTAAATATTTTTTACAATGTAGTTTAAGGGGGCCCCCTCCCTTAGAAAATCAAGTTTTTCAGGAAAATATCGAAGTTGAGCTTTTATCATAGGAAGATGCAGCGAAGCTTCCTCTTTCAGAATATCTATAGTTTTTTGGAAAATGATCAGATTTTCAAAGACTTATCGGATGAAACTTTAAATCGACTACCATGTTTTCGGAGAAATTTCCATGATTTTTCAAGGTTTTCAGTTTCACAAAAATTGCGCTCCCACTTGCATTATTATTGAATAGAATATTTTTATATGAACCAGCACGTCAGACAGCGCTAGCTACCTTCATATTTTACGTCCTTTAAAATGGTGCAATGGAATATACCATTGTAATATGGCTTGCTCTGGATTTCAATGAAAAAATCCACTTCTAAAACTTTTTTAGCATTTTTCTCAGAACATGGGTTCGACGGAGTATCTCCAACGCCATTCTACCCCAGGACAATATAATGTCAAATATTTTTTTTTGTTTGAAAGCTAGTGTTCAGGGCTAGCCTACCTCGTGGCCCTTTTTTTAAAATAAGCCCTTTTATTATTATACAAGAAGCCATCTCTATAGAAAAAGCACTATTTTTTAGGGGTTTTTTGAGCCATTAAACTTGTCATCCCTTTCCTTCGCTTAAAAAGTATGAATTTAAAAAAAAGGGTCACGAGGTAGGCTAGCCCTAGAGACAAACTTTCAAACAAAAAAAAATTATATATATATATATAATGAGGGTCCACAGAGAATTCTTGGAGATGAGATGACCTATTTTTTGACCCTTGTTTGGTTCATATCTCTGTCAAATGTCAGAGTATCGAGCTGAAAATTTTACCACAGCCTCCTCACTTCAGCCCCAACATATCTTCCAAATTTCAGCCCATTTGAACGTACCTGGGCTGAGGTCGATTTTTGAGGGGGGGGGGGGAGTCCCCTTAAGGTATGGGTGGGAGGATTTCCTTGCCTACCAACACCCACACACCCATATCCAACCCACACCCCACGAACACACGTACGAACAATTCTATCAATGGCTTGTAAATAAAGCTAATGACTTACACATTCCAATTCAGATTTTATTACCATTTTCGTATACGAAGAAAATGCGAAACTTCGTGCACCACAGTGTTATTGGTGACTTTTTCAAGGACGGTTGTACAGCATACAAAATCAAAATTGAAACAACATATGATGATGATATCATTGACATTGTTATTGTTTATTTTTATTTTTATTTTAAATTTCTTTTGTTTCTATAAGTATGAATAGATGTAAACGACATGGGAAGTAGAAATATATATCCAATAAGCTGAATCATCACTGTGATTCAAAAAATCAAAATGATACTTTGAAACTTTGCGTGGATATTTTGGCTTGAGTTTTTATTTAAATGCTCTCTAATATATTTTCATACTGATTTTTAATTTATAAATTTTTGAAACCGAGAAAATTTTTAAAGAATCTTCTAAAATTTCGAGTCGTCATTATCACTGATCTTTACATCAGTTTATGTTATTATTTCAAGATCATCCACCCGAGATGTCCATAGCGGCAGATTTTTAAAAAGTCATCGCGGTAGCGGCAACATTTTTTTTTTCGAGGACATTGGAAAACTGCATGAATTTGACAGAATTTCATTGTTTACAAATGAAACACCCTGAGACTGAAGAATCTGATGAACTAGTGTCAATATATCTAGTCCAATACAGTCACACCAGTGAAATTCAAAATATTTCTTTGAAAACCATCGCGACAGCGACAAGTCTATTTTACAATTCATCGCGGCAGCGGCAGATTTTCAGCCGCGATGGAGATATCTGTCATCTACTTCGTTAACTATAAACATTTTTTCAACCTAAAATATAAATAACAGAAACCTGGAGACATCTGAGTATTTTTCTCTTTATAAATCGAAAAAAAATCTGATTCGAAAATATGTGAAAATTTTGAATAGATACGAAGTTATTTATTGTAAATTAAAAAAAAACAAAATATAAAATGAAAAAGAATTGTTATAGATGTCATAATAATATGAAAAATGAGAAAAATTAATAAACAGATGTCGGTGTTTTAGAAAAACAAATAATTGGAGAATGTATTCCTAAGTAAAATTATTTTCTTTTTTTTTGTTATCAACTATCTTTGAAAAAACAGTGCTTATGTATCGACAATTATTTTTTGCTCGATCAAAACTTCTTAATATAAATATAAATGGACGATCTCAAGTATTTATTTTTAAAATAAATTAATTAATGATAATAAAATATATTTATTGAACACTCTAGATATTATGTTTATCATCATTACAATCCGAATGGAGTAAATTAGCAACAAAACAATTAAAAAAAATTCCATTAGATTCGCTCAATGTAATAACACATGAAGGAATTAAATTAAAACCATTATATACATCAGAAGATGTTAAAGGAAAAGAAGAAATTCCCGGTGCATATCCATATACTCGTGGTCCATATCCAACAATGTATGCTCAACGACCATGGACTATACGTCAATATGCTGGTTTTAGTACAGTTGAAGAATCAAATCGGTTTTATCGAGCTAATTTAGCTGCTGGTCAACAAGGTCTTTCAGTTGCATTTGATTTAGCTACACATCGTGGTTATGATTCTGATAATGAACGTGTTAGTGGTGATGTTGGAATGGCTGGTGTTGCTATTGATACTGTTGAAGATATGAAACAATTATTTGATTCAATACCTCTTGCAAATATTTCAGTATCAATGACTATGAATGGAGCTGTTTTACCTGTTCTTGCTATGTATGTTGTTGTAGCTGAAGAACAAGTAAACATTTTACATCATGTTTCTTTTTTTCTTAATCATGTTTAAATATTAAAAAAAAAACCTAGGGAGCAAAACAAGATCAATTAACTGGAACAATTCAAAATGATATTTTAAAAGAATTTATGGTTCGTAATACATATATTTATCCACCTGAACCATCAATGAGAATAATAGCGGATATATTTCGATATACATCAAAACATATGCCTCATTTTAATTCAATTTCAATAAGTGGTTATCATATGCAAGAAGCTGGTGCAACAGCTGCACTTGAATTAGCTTATACTATTGCTGATGGTCTTGAATATTGTCGAACTGGTCAATTATAATTAATATAATTGAAATAAATTATTTTTTTTCTTGTTTTTTAGGTATAAAAGCTGGTTTAAATATAGATGATTTTGCTCCACGACTTTCTTTTTTTTGGGGTATTGGAATGGATTTTTATATGGTTTGTATATTAATTTAATTAAAATAATTGAAAAATGTTAAATTCTATTAGGAAATAGCAAAACTTCGAGCAGCTCGTCGTTTGTGGGCTAATTTAATGAAAGAATATTTTTCACCTAAAAAAGCTCAATCAATGATGTTACGTTGTCATTGTCAAACATCTGGATGGTCATTAACAGCACAAGATCCATATAATAATATTATTCGTACAACATTAGAAGCATTATCAGCTGTTTTTGGTGGTACACAATCTTTACATACAAATTCATTTGATGAAGCACTTGCATTACCTTCAGTTCAAAGTGCAAGAATTGCAAGAAATACTCAAATTATTTTACAAGAAGAAACAGGAATTCCTAAGGTTAAACAAAATAAAAATAAAATAAAATAAAATATTTATTTTAAAAAAAAAAGTTAGGTTATTGATCCTTGGGCTGGATCTTATATGATGGAATCATTAACTGATGAAATTTATTCAAAAGCTCGAGAATTAATAAATGAAGTTGAACAAATGGGTGGAATGGCTAAAGCTATTATTGCTGGTGTACCAAAATTAAAAATAGAAGAATGTGCAGCTAAACGACAAGCTATGATTGATGATGGAAAAGAAACAATTGTTGGTTAGAATATCGGTTTTTTTTCTTTCAAATAATAGAATTTACTTGTTTATCTATTGTTAAGGTGTTAATAAATATAAATTAGAAAAAGAAGAAGTTATTCAAGTTCTTCAAATTGATAATCAACAAGTTCGACAACAACAAATTGAAAAAATAAAAAAAGTTAAACAACAACGTAATCAATCAAAGGTTTCATTTCATTATATTCTTTTTTTTTTGTTTTGTTTTTCAATGACTTTTTTTTTAATAGGTTGATCAATGTCTCGAAAATCTTCGAGAAATAGCTCGTGATACATCTGCTTCAGGAAATTTATTTCAAGCAAGTATTGAAGCATCACGAGCTCGTTGTACACTTGGAGAAATCTCACAAGCATTAGAAGATGTTTTCTCTCGTCATCTTGCTGATTCACGTTTTGTTAGTGGAGCATATAGAAAAGCTTTTAATCAAGGAAAAAATAATGATGAACTTCAACAAGTTATTGATCGAGTTGAAGTTTGGATTTTGATTTTTCTTTCTTTCTTCTATTTATTTCAATTATTTAAATAGAAATTTGCTAAAATTGATGGTCGTCGTCCTCGAATACTCGTTGCAAAAATAGGACAAGATGGACATGATCGAGGAGCTAAAGTTATTGCATCTGCTTTCAGTGATCTTGGATTTGATGTTGATATTGGACCTTTATTTGCTGTAAGTCTACAGATTTAACAGTGAAAACTTACATTCATAGATTTGATTCTTTGCTCATAGAATAATTAATAGGATGAGCTTTATTTATTTATTTATTTTTTAAAGAGAATTTTCCATGTAAGAAAATATGTAACTAATAACAATCACACGTTTTCGAACTTTTATTTAGTTAATAAAGAAAAAGTAGAGAATTTGTTCTGTTAAATGACATTTTTCTTTTACAGAAAAAAAAGATCGAGTATACTATATTATATATTAAGCGGCATAGAGTTTACTGAAGTGAAACATTCTTTTAAAAATCGTAACCGATTTGACTCTTTAAAATTGATCAGCGAACATTTTATTTGTAAAAGTTTATATTGATAGTCTTAGTCTTTCGATTCGAAAAGTAATTTAACTTATCTCCGATCTTGTTTTTTTCAACTATTAAAATTATTCGACTTTATTCAACTTCTTATCGCTATAATAATCAATTTTTGAGAATGATCTTATAAATGACTGTGATCATGGTGGAATTACATTGTTTAGAAATACTTTTTATAAAATAAATATACTTTTAATAGACCCATTATAGATTGGACAGAGCCTTCAAAAGATGATTCGATTTCGAGATCTCATAGCTGGTTTTTTTATAAAGTTTTATCAAAGACATGGGCAGCGTACCAGCAATTGCTTCCTCGAATTTTCCATAGCTTCTATTGATACTAGAGACCAACTAATACAGTATATATACACATACGTATTCAATAGGACTCGAAAGTTGATATAGGAAGATTGTTCCATAGTTGGATAATTTTGTTTATTCTTATTCTGATGAATATACTTCTATTGATATATATTCGATACCTAGGTCGAGGATTTCTCTAGTCGGAAATACAGGATCTAACAAAATTATAGACCCCATTTTTTAGTTTTGAAATTTTTCAACAAAGACGAATAGTTAGATCAAATATAAATAGGAATTTGTAGAGTCCTTTAAATTCTCTATCGAATATAGTATGAATCAAAATTTTAAAAGAAAATTTGTGAAGAGAGTTTTCCAGAAAATCGGTTCACTGAAATTTCATGTCCTATAGGAGTTTGATAAAAATATTTTAAAATCTAGTCATCTGAAAGAGCAAAATGAGTTTGTTGCAAAGTAATTAGCACCAGAAAACTCAAAAAATTGCATAATTTATCAAAAAACAAGTCAAAATCGACTAAAAACTTTTTTTTTCGGTTTTTCTAATGTTTATAACTTTGCAATAAAACATCGTGGAGAGCTGGTGGATGTCTCATTTTGTTCTTTCAGATGATTAGATTTTTAAATATTTTTATCAAACTCTTATAGAACATGAAATTCCAGTGACTCCCTTTTCTGGAAAACTCTCTTCGTAAAATTTCTTTTGAAATTTTCATCCGTGCTGTATTCGATTAGAGAACTTCAAAGGCTATACAAATTCCTATTTATATTTGATCTGGCTATTCGTCTTTGTTGAAAAATTTCAAACATAAAAGGGAGTCTACAATTTTGTTAGATCCTATAATTGGGTTTCGCTGATATCGGCAGGAAAACACTACAAATCGGTGGAAGGTGAAAATAGTATTCCAGTTGGAAATTTTCCAATCAGAATATTGCTTCCACATTCCAGTGACTTCCAGTATTTTTTTTGCCAGAATAAGCGACAGGCAAAAGTTCACTGATGAATCAAGATGAATTAGCGTCGGGTTTGATCTATCTAAGACTGACTAAATGATACTTAATGATTTTGATCAGAAGAGCTGATGTTCAATTTACCAGTACTTAATTAGTAAAATGTAATGGTTAATCTTGTTTGCTATTTGTTACTAATAAAAGTTTACTTGCTATCAGTAGTTTGTTTTTATTTTGGGTTTTTAGTAAAATTTATAATTTAGATGTTTAAATTTAAAATAAAAATATCCGAACATAAAAACAAGCTTATCTTTTATTTTGAAATCAGAGAGAAAATCGAATATTATCCATTTTTAAAAAAAAGTCTTTTCAGAAGAATACTTCTAACTTTTCAAGAGAAAGTATAAGAGACCTACGATTTTCATTGTTGGATAGAGAATTGCAGAGCGCATATTACTATGAAGTAATCAGACCTTTAAGTAAAGTTTACCATGGTAAACCCTCAAATGCAAACTTGACGAGATTGTCATTTCCGGAGAGTATGCTTAATTTTGATTTCCAAATTAGTGAAATGGATAGTCCAGATCGAGGTCTACAATTTTAGATTCTATTTATATATTCTTCGTAAAGATATCTATTCCTATTCGTACACAGGCTAAAATTCCAAAAAAAAACCTCGACCTATGGATTAACAGATACTCTGAACATCGAAGCGTTGTTTATTTCGAGTTTGGGAAACATTTTTGAACTCGAGTCCGCTTGAAAAGAGATTATACTATGATAGTAGACTGCAACCTCAGCGCTATAGAATAAAAAAATGTTTTTTAAACATTTATTTCTAATTTTTTGTAATTTTTGGGCTCTAATTAGCGTTAATTAGATAAGAAGAAAGATTCACCTTGGTAAATTTTACCTGAAGGCCTGATTACTTCATAGTACTAGACGGCCCGCTGTACTCTATCCAAGAATGAAAAGCGCAGATCTCTATAACTTTTTCTTCAAAAGTTATAAGCATTCTTTCGAAGTGACTTTGTAAAAATGAATAATAGTTGTTAACAATAAATAATTAAACAATCTTCAGATAATCTTTTAGATAATAACACCTTTGGATTCTTCAGTCGTGAATACCTTTAATAAAACTTGATGAGAGATAATAATTATCCTCTAAGAGTCATTTCTTGATGAAATAATAAAATCTAGAAATTTTTCGTTACCTATAAATGTTAACTTTTCTCTCGTAAAATGTTTCTAGACTCCATCAGAAGTTGCATTACAAGCAATAGATGCTGATGTTCATATTGTTGGCATAAGTACTTTAGGTGCTGGACATAAAACATTAGTACCTGAATTAATTAAAAAATTAAATGAATTAGGTCGACGTGATATTGTTGTTACTGTTGGTGGAGTTATTCCACCTCAAGATCATCAACAATTATATGATCAAGGTGTTAAACTTATATTTGGACCAGGTACACGTATTCCTGAAGCTGCTATGCAAATTCTTGATCATATTGAAAAAACATTTACTTCAACAAACAAATCAAAATAAAAAGCAATAAAAACAAAAAAAAAAAATATGAAAATATTGTTTTATTCATTCAAGGTTATTTTCAAGACTTTTTTTTGAATATTATATATATATTTGATTAGATCATTACAAATAGAGAAAAAAAAACAATTTAAATAATAGATTATTTTCTAGAATGAATGTGATTATCACATTGATCTATTTGATTTACGCACCTTTTATATTTATTATCATCATTTTATATTTATATTCTAATTGAAGTAAAACATATGTGTAACAAAAAAGTGCAATTTTCGTATGATTTTTTTCTGAATTTTAATGAAAAAAATTCATTTCTAAAACCTGTTTAGCGTTTTTCTCAAAATATGATTTCCGCAGAGGAAAATTGAAATAACTTCCCCTTGGTTCGGGATATCATCGATGTGTTTTTTATTATTTTAAAGGTTTCAATGAGAAGAAACTTTTGTCCAACCAGATTTGTTTATATTGGATTCCTGACCTGAGAGAAAAGTGGAATTCAATATCGTCAGGATTACCTTTTCTTTGTGCTTATTTCAATACCATGTCTTCTAAATTCCTCATAAAAAAATGAATGAAAGGAAATTTCAAAAATTTGTGCACAGATCTTAGCTTTTATTTAAAACTAGTCCGAGTTGTCTATCTCTTATAATGACGAAGTTATGACGATTCTCTTCGAAGCTACATAAAATGTTTCTCACTAAAACGACTTATTCCTATAAATTTCATGGCAAGTGGCATCTTATAAGTGGAAAAGGGATCATTCTTATAATTAAATAAAATTTCTATTGAGGAATATTTTTATCATGAGAAAAATAAACCATTAATAATTATTCATTGTTAAAAGTCAATCAAGATTTAATGCAAGAGCATTATATCAAAATATAAAAGTATGGATTTTTTTTCATATGAGTAAATTAGAAAAAATATAAAAGCAACATCATAGAATATATAAAATATATAAATAATATAAATAGATCAACCATTGATCCATTCTTTAGTAAATGGTTTTATATTATCTATGGTCTTGGTAAAATGGTTTTATATTATCTATGGTCGCGGTAAATGGTTCTCGAACATCATCAGTATCACCAACAAATGACAATCAATGATGAACATTTAAAATTTGAAATTTAAAATTAAATTTTTCAAGTTATATTTCGTCCAATAATTAAAAAATCAACAACTTGTGATGAATTTATTAAATTCAACATCAACAAATTCTACAGTTGGACCATCATTTGATTTGATTTTATTTTATTTTGTATTATCTATGATTTACAAAAACAAAATGGTACAACATCACATGAAATTTATAGCACAATCTTGTTCTGATGATGGACTCTATTATGTCCGAAAATTTAACAAAAAACAAATAGAACATTTGACTGATCTATTGTCATCGTTCTTGTATTTTCCTTTTTTCTTTTTTAATTATAAAAAAGTCTCTACTATATTTAGTAAAAACTAAAGAATGGATCAATGGTTGATCTATTTATATTATTTATATATTTTATATATTCTATGATGTTGCTTTTATATTTTTTCTAATTTACTCATATAGCATTATATCAAATTATTCGTCTTAGATATTTATAATTAATGTAGTATCTTCTCAATTTATAATGTGAAAAACGAATCTTGATCAATCTCAAGTTGATGATCACAATGAAAAGAAATATTTCTAATAGAATTCTATTAACGTACTAAACGAATGATATTTTCCTCATTTTTCTATTTAGATTTAAATAATAAATAAACTCGTTTATTCATGCTCAAAAATCAATATGAAATTTTCATCTCTATAACAATATGTTTTAGGTAGATAATAAATTTATCTATTCAACATTCTCTGTCAACCTTCATTCTACATATTTTATTTTGTTTTCATCTGAGACTGCATTGCTTGACTGTGCCGGTGTTTTTTTAAAATTAATAGTTTTTATCTAGAGAAAAAGAATGAGCATAGAAGTGCTTTTTTATATAATAACAAAAAACAAGCATTATACCTTCACATGCTCTTTCAAATAAAAACAAAAAAAGCAATTGAATATAATCAAACTCCGTCAGAAATAATCGGATGCACCAGTAGAAAAATATAAAACGAAAAAAAAATTCGATGCTTTTTCTTTAAACAAAACAGCAGAAGGTAACGAAAATTTTTCGAAAAAAAGTCATGCACTAAATAAAAGAAAGCATACTGATTGGAAACTATCCAATCTCAAATTTTGATCCCGTGGATTTATCTATAATTCTACAGGAAATAAACAGGAAAATATTTGAATTTTATTCTACTCTCTCAAATATCAATCAATTTATTGTGTAAAACTCTTTTATTAAATAGAGGAAGAGATTTATCTTTTCATATATCTATATATAAATAGTTGATTTATAATAGAATACAACATCTTATCCACCTCTTAAACAATCCCGCAACATTTCAAATCTGCACAAATAGATACTAATTACAAGAAAAACTATAAGATACTTGACATTATTATAATTACACAATATATAAATAACTATACAACAAACCTATGTTTAGTTTTATATGAATTTATTTCAATTAAAATAATATTTCGAAGAAGATTTATCTTTGTTTGAACTATTTATTGAGATACTTCAAGGTTAATAAAAGAGAAATTTTGCGAAAAGTTTGCAAAAAAAATATAAATTATATAAAAGAAAACATCAACCAATATAAATACAAGAGACAATTTAGTGTAGAAATAAATAAATAACGAATAGATATCTTAACAAAAGAAGAAGAATGACATCAACTACACTGATTCTATATCATCATTATCAGTCTTATCAGTTTTTTTCTTTTTGTTTACAACCTTTCGTTTATATAAATCAACAATAATTCGAGTTATTTTATCGTCTCTACACGGAGAAATCTAATAGATCTAATAAAAATAAGAAATTTTCTAAAAGAATTTTCACACATATTTGTCAATTTAATATTTCATTTAATTATAACTGAAAATCATTTTGTTTAACAATTATTTCTATAAGTTGCAACTACTTTTAAAATAGTTCTTTACTCAGTTCGTTTTGTTTTATCGATATTTAAAGAATAGTAGAATTTGATAAATGTATAGAGTTTTATAAAAAAAAAAAAAAAAAAAAAAGAAAAAAAAGTGAAGTAGTTTCATGATTGATCATCTATTCAAAATGAAGTAACAGAACTTATTGATTTAACTCCGAGGTTAAGTTAGACAACAAATATTAGTTACATTTACAACATCAATAAGAAGAACGTTATCAACCATTTTGCAAATACTTTGTTCATTCAACAACTGAAAAATTCTTTCTTACAAAGAAAAACAAAATATTTTCTCTCTTGAAAACTCTTTACATTCGTTAACCTTGACTTTATCGTTATATTCCTGTCAATATAAACACATAACAAAGTCTTGTTTTATCGGTAATGTCATCATCAATGTGAGAAGGAAAACATAATTATTCTATTTTTCTTGTGATAATCATTTTCTACTAGTTCGATATTCATAGGTTTACCACTAACAATTACAAAACGTGAAAACACTTTATTAAATATCAATCAAAACAAAATAAAAAAGATGATTATTCTACCATACTTAAAATAACCATCTGCTGTTTTTTTTTCTATATATCTAGGGCTATACCATATCTATACGGTTTGCATTTGTTACACTCAAATATATGATAGAATATATTCAATCTTTTCAATTTACAACAACTTAGATCGTGTGACAAATAAAAACAAAAAATAACAATGGAAAAGTAAGTTGTGTGAAAATTTTATCCCTATTCCAACCGACATATTAAATGGATGATCGATCTACTATGTTATGGAATGAAGAGATAAATTAATAAGGAAGAGAGAAAATGTGAAGCGAATAGGCACAAGGAAAATAACATGTGGATAATCTGAGTACTGATTCACTTATTAATATTGGCGAATAAGAAGAAAAGGAGTATATTCTGAAAATCGATAGAGGATTGATACTCAATTCTCATTTGTTAAAAATATAAAAAGATGATTCTTCATTTATTTTTAAAAGTTAAATCAATAAAATTTAATATTTTAATCGATTGATTAACTAATTTTTGTTTATTAAATTATTATTTATTTATTCTCAGTATAATATTCTATAGATGCAAAAAGTATATTAGAAGAACTAAAGAAAAAGAAAAACGTGTTCTAATAGATAACAGATTTATGTAAGTGAAGATAATGATACCTTGGTAAATAGATATCTAGTTCGAGAGTCGTGTATGTCACCCTATCATAGATACACAAACGAAAAAAAATCGATAAATAGTGCACAACTGAATAATAGACGATCGAGAAAGAAAAAAAAATTTCTATTCTTTCCTCTCATTCGCTGATTAAACGAAATAGATCCTTGAGAAATGTACTTCAACCACACACACACACATATATATATATATAAATAAAACATCTGTGACATAACAATTCAAATATTTGTTATTTTCTAGATTAGAAATGGATTCTTACGGTGATATGAATCGTGTTTTAATCTCGGATGATGTTGATTCTCAATGTGTTGATATGTTAATTGCTAATGGATTTTCCGTAGAAATAGATATTAAATTAGCTAAACAACCTCAAGAACAATTAATTAAACGACTTCAAGTATTTATTATTTATTTAATATAGAATTTTCTTTTTATTTATTTTTTGTCAAAAAATGTATAATATAGGATGTTGATATTTTAATTGTTCGAAGTGCAACTAAAGTAACAAGTTCTGTTATCGAAGGATCACCACGTTTAAAATTAATTGGACGACCTGGTACAGGAACAGATAATATTGATACTGAAGCAGCAACACGTCATGGAATCTTAGTTATGAAGTTCGTCATTCGTCTTTTTAATATTATTTATTCTTAATATTGTTTTTCTTTCAATATAGTACACCCGGTGGCAACACTATTTCAGCTGCAGAACACACATGTACTTTGATTTGTGCTTTAGCTCGGTTAGATATTAAAGAAATATTAATATAAAAAAAAACTGTTTATTTTTAATAAAGGAATATTCCAAGTGCTTGTGCTTCATTAAAAACAGGAGCA